TTTTTGGACCAATGCCTCTTTTTTTTAAAGGGTTTCCCCTTACCCTTTCCCCCCTTTTTTTTTTTTTGAAGGGTTGCCCCCTCTTTTTTTGGGTTTTCCGGCCCCCCCCAAACCCCCCCCCCCCCCCCCTCTTCTCTCTCTCTCTCTCTCTCTCTCTCTCTCTCTCTCTTTCTTTGCTATCTAGGACTACCGACTCTTTTACAGTTTCTATGACTACCGACTCCCAGACTCGTAACCAAATGAAGTCTTCTGAATTTGAGTTTAACTCAAATGGACTTCGACTTGTAGTTAAATTCGATCGATCTTGGAATTGAGTTTGAATTCACCCCATCTTGGACTTCAACTTGGACTTTGTATTAGCCGAGTGGACTTGAGCTGAGTCGATAATCTTTGATCATGGCTCCCTGACGATTCAACTCTTCTTGAATCTAAAATTGAAGATGAAAAAACTCTGCTTTGTTTTTTTACAGAATTGATGGCTTCTCCTACAATAATATGAAATCAGATCTTTATATCTTCATACTGTCATAATGTAAAAATGTTTTACTACATAATTGAACATTTCACTGTACTATGCATAATTATATGATCTATATACAGTACAGTATTAATCCCTATATGCTTCATAGACTTATGGTTTATATATCTTAATGACTGATAGGGATGATTTTATCCCATGCTAGTTCATCTGTCATAAAGGTCAACACCTAAGTAGGGCTCCAAGTTATCAGTCTCAAAATGGTGTCGTAGTATGTCTCGATGTGCCCCACATCAATAACCGGCAATAACCGCCTTTATCTAGATCAAAGATCAAAATGATCAAGTGGCTAATCCTAAACCAGCTAATAAGAAATTCTAAGGATCAAGTATAAAAAGAAACTCATCAGCTCACGCTGGAGGGCACTCTACACACTAACTCAGTCATACAACTTACATTACTATCTTTTCCCCTCCACAAACTTAAGTATCGGAAGGGCTACGCTGGACAACTCTCAGTGCCAGCCAACCCCTGACGCTAGCTTGTCATGCAGGATCGTCGGCCATCCAAAGACGCCCGGACTACTCAGCCCTCGGGGAGGAACCTTACAACTAGGAAGACCCTATTGAATCTCAGATTTTAATGTTGAAACCAAGTGATAGTGTTTATGATTTGATCTACGTTTTGAGTGACAAAAGAAGCTTCAATTAGGGAGAGACAATTAAAGCAGGAAGAATCATGTTGGGCCGGAGAAAAACATGTCAGAAGATTGGACGTCGAGTCGAAGGATCGATCGACGTATCGATAGAAGGCTTCGGGCCATGGGTTCGAGCATTGGGCAAAGAAGAGCAAAGATTGCACTAAAGAAATCGGAGTTGTGGAAGTCAATTGACCGATTGGGCAATAGGCCGCAAGAGAGGACGATGCACCAAATAATCAAATAAAGCATTAATAAACTAATGATATATTGGACAACACTTGATTCAAGCTTTGTAATAATTGTTTATATCGAAGTAGGTTTTAAGTGTGCAGGATTAACTATGATAGCAAGACATAAAGCAAAATGAAGTCTCAGAGTCAAGAATGAGATTTTGTTAGGAGTTCAAGAGTTCGTCGGACGTTCATCAGAAGTTCTGTTGGAATTGACCAAGAAGTCCAGGAGCTTGCCAACGAAGCTCATCGGAACTCGCCAAGAAGATCATCGTGAGGTCCAGGAGCTTACCGGGATTCTGTTAGAATATTGCTGAGAGATTGTCGGAAGTTCGCCGGAAGCTCACCGGAAGAAACCTAGACTTATAAACTTATTCGGGTTAGTAAATGTCTTAAAATTCATAGTTAGTACATAATTAGGTTAGAATTGGGCTAACTCAATTAGGAGCCAATTAGGCCCAAGTTTGGGCTATGTTGGGCCAAGTAGAAGGTCCAAACAGTGACCCAACAGGTGGCACCATTGTGGTATAGTCTCCGAGACTGTGTCAGGTGGTGGTATTGCCAGACTGGGCGGTGGTACTACCCAGTGTCAATGCTGTAGGTGATGGTACCACCCAGCATAGGTGGTGGTACCGTTAG